GCAAAGTGAAGACGCCCCCCCCCCCTCCTCTGATACCCATGCACACACTCCGCCAGCACTCAAAAGGCCTCTGAGCTTTGTTATGGTTTATCTGATCACACCATCACGCGACCACCTCAGATTCTCGCCCAATCAGCAGCACTGACATGCACTGTGATTTGAAGTTAAGTGGTTATCCAAGAAGCCAATGTTTTTGTGCACCCTATACCCCCATTACAAGTGATTTACATCAAACGCCTTGAGTTGAACTGATCCCTCCTCGTAAACAAGTGGTAATGGCGAATTATTGACAATTTGAGTTTCATTTAGATTATCTAAACTGAATACGCTGTTTGATTTTTAGAGTAAATTCAAAGTGTTACAACTCTGCTCCAAACCCTTTTTTTATACGGAAAATATAAAGATTGAGGGCATAAATTCCACCTCTTTTAACAGCAGGTATAACCTCAGTGTGATTTAGTATATGATCATAGCCATTCCTGATCTAGCTCTGTCTCTTCATATTCACTGTCGTCTTCTCACTTTTTTGTGCACTAAGCTGGCTTTTCAGCACAACGCACCTTCCTTTTACATTTCAACACTTTTAAGCCAGAACAACCGCATCTCTCATAGTTCCGACTTAAATGTATCCTTATGCATAATTACAGTCACACCATCCCATTTTTCCTGGATCGATTTCACGTCTCTTGGTTTGTCGCAGATGAGTTGGGAAGGTGGATCAGAGCAGAAAACACTTTGTGCTTTGTGCGCGTCTCTTTCCACATCCTACCTGGTCTTCTCTCTTTTCACTCGCCACTCTCCCTCTAGGACGCCAAAGAGGATCACTAAGGTCATGTGTGCGGCCTCTCTATGTATTTGCATTCCTAGACATAAACAAAGGTTTACTTTGATGGCATTTCCAAGTACCTATGTTCCGAGAAAGCTTACACTAAACCACATGAATGCTTTACACTTAGGCTTTACTGGTATGTAACCGTTAAGTAAACAGCATGGCGAAACCAACAGTTTCACCCTAATTTGAGGGCTGTTCTCCGTCAACATGGTGAAAGTCTGATGGTGCACACTTCCTTGGAAAAACAAAACAAAAAAACAAGACACTGAATTCAAGCTCAATTCGGAAACGCACACATACACGCAAAAGGATAATCTTAAAGGGGTCTGCAGAGTCAATGACCACATTTGCCTTTCCACTTTAACCCCCCCATACCTTTCCTCCATCACTCTTTCCCCTCCTTTTTCCTTTGAGGGGGAAACTGTGGGTGTAATGGGTTGCTCATGTGCGTAAGAGGAGTATGTTTACTTTGCTAGCAGTGTGGGACCTCCTTCTAATATTCCTGGATAGTAGCTCGATTCAAAGGCGAGCGAAGTGAAGATGATGGTAGAGTGATGGAAAATATCCACAACTTCATTTTGTCGTCTAGGAATCTTCGTGGCTAACTGAAAGAAAATCTTAGCAGACACAGAAAGGCTGACTGTCTTTCTCCACTCATGTCCTCAAAAGCCAGGGCTTGATCTTCTTCATAAATCACATAAGATGTATCCATACACAGACGCACAAAATTAAGAATAAAAATACAAGAGGCGGACAGACAGGGAAAATTGATTTAGCCCGGGGCAGATGGTGAATGGGGGGCAACACGGGCCGAGCCTTCATGTGGCGCAATGTATTTATCCGAATAAGAATATGAATGATCTCAGCGAGCACTTTCCCTCACTGCCGAAACGTTTGAAATGCGTACACACTTCTACACAGAGGGTGCGTCCCGCTGCCAACAATAAGACTTGTTTAACAAGTCTCAGTGCTTTGTTGATTTCAGTCTCAGGCCTTTGTTGTTTTTGTGAATCGCGCTCTCCGAGGGCAGTATTAATCTTCACTCGGTGTAAACATACGATTTTCAGGGGCCGCTCGGTTAACTGGGAATTCTCATGCAAAAAGGCTCGGTTCAAACGAGGTGAAGTGTTGTTTGGTTCGTTGCTCATCTTGAATCCCCCCCACTAGTCATTTTTTAAACATTTATTTGTAATTTTTCAGTTATCACACGGAGCAATCATATTCCATGTTTTACAAATAGCCACAGAAAAAACCATCCCGACAAAAAACAGAGACGGATCAAACCTAAAACAAACAAAACTAAGCTAAACAACAAGTGCACCTAACACTTTATGTTACAGGATTGTTCAAGGGCAGGTGTAATAATTCAAAGCTCCTTTTCCAGACGGGGTAAATTGTTCACACAAGTTATTAGAGGGTTCCAGGTTCTGTGGAATCTGCCAGTGGAAGCGTTGTGGATGCATCTAATCTTTTCCAGCTCTGCATTATGTCCCTAATCCAGTGGTGATCTGATGGAGGAGTAGCAGCCTTCAACTTGAATAGAATCAAGCGCCTTGGTAATAAATTTAGAAAAGGCATGACCCTCTGTAAATAAACTGGGGGAACGGATCCTGTTGGATCAGAAAACCAACCAAAAACAGCAACCTAAGGAGACGGTGAGATATCTTAAGCCTAAGCATTAGACTTGGCTTCAAAAAAGGCCGACCAAAAAGGAGCAGAACATATGATAGGAAGTAGCCGGGGTCTGTTTACATCCATCGCATAATGGGCCTATCTTTGGAAATATTCTTGCTAATTTAGCGTTTTGAGAGATGCAATCTATGCAACACTTTGATTGCATTAAAGCATGTCCAGAACATATGGAGGAAGAGCGGATCCAAGGAGGAGCCATATGCCCCTCGCCATCGGACAGCTGGATATCTCCTCACACCTTTAACCATCATCCGTGCCCTCCTTTCCACCATGTTCTCGGACCCTCCTCCTACTAGAACAGTATCTGTTGGGCCCGGTGAATTGTTTGTGTCTCCCATTCTTGATTCCTCTCTGGCAGCGTGTGTGGATACAGAGACACTGAGGCCTTTGACCATAGAGTCTTTTCCCCCTTGCCTCACTGGCAGTTGGCAGTCCACTTCCGCTGCCCGATGCAGCCGCCTCCTTCTGACCGGGCCTGCCTTGTTGGCTGCTTCTCCCTAGAGAAAAACTCGAGTTTGAAAGGCCAACATGGGGATTTTCTTGTGTTTTTGATACTGATAAATTCCAGATTAAGTCAGTGGCTGAAAAAGTTTTCATGGTTCCGTTTCGTATCAAGTGTGATGAAATGTTGCATCTTTTGATTAAAACAGTGCCTTGTGAGGTTATATCAACCCAGCTGAATTCCCAACGAGGCCTCTCCCATTCACATACGTTTCAGTTCATAGTTTCTAATTTTATTTAATGACTACCATGTCAGCAGTTGTGACTGAAAGCGTCTTCTTGACACTTTGTGTCACTCTGCGTTTCCACACTGTGGCCCAGCAGTAATTAAATCCTGATATTACGAGTGCGGCTTCCAACAAAATCGACATTCAGGGAGCTCAAATACAACATGGAGTGAATCATCCGATTCTGAGCTCCGCACACCGGGCAATAAGACAAGGACAGCAGTCCAGGTGCTACTGGCTCGACCGCATGATTCCGCTGTGACCGGACCGAAGGCTTCAGACCGAGGCAGGATCACAAAAAGGTCCCTGGGGATGCATCCGGGCACATAGGAATTGCCAGAAGAGAAAGTCGTTGAAAGGTGGAATCTCGTGGCTGCACCCCCTCTGGTAACGCGGTGCAGTCAGGGAGGCGGAAGGCTGCAGATACGCACCCACTCTTACTAGCTATCTGCGAGTGAGAGGATGGGGGGGGGACCGGAGCACAGAGAAAGGAGAAAGGACCGGTCTCAGTCACCGTGGAGCCTGGCAGAAAGGCTGCAAGGACTCAAGAGAGGAACTTCATGGACATATTGTATTATTCCACGTTCTGACCAGAGAACAAAAACACATGCCCATCCACAGAAAAACTGTTCCCTCTCTGCAGAACTTTTTTACAGACAAACTCATCTCGCTGCTGCATCTTTGGCTGAGCGAGCTCCATGCTGTGTTCCCCATTGGGAATTAAACCATGCTATGCAGTAATTATAAGCATGTTTCTCTCGGTATTTTGGGGGTTAGAGACAGACAAAGTAACATTCACATTCGAGCCAGACCATTCCTTAACGCCTACACACTGACCCCAAACAAAATATTTCACATATTCCAGCTCAATAGTTGATTGACAGTTGTGTTCATTAAAGCAATTTATTTTATAGGGATGGGAATCTGTGTAATAGTCCAAACCTTTTGCAGACACAGGGCATTTGACAGTCGTTATCAAGTGGAAGCAGTTGGTGTTAAAGACAGCAGCAGTCATTCTTAATGGTTTGGGAAATATTTGTGAGGATGAACACAAAAAAAACTAAACAAACAAACTTAAAAATGACATATGAAAGGGCAGTGGCTTTATCAGAAGTAAGATTTGACTCCAATGGAGACGGATAACAGTGAGCTCTTGTTGCCAGGTGTCCACGGGAGAGGCTGAGAGGGGATAGGCTATAGATATGTGTGCACGCATGTACCCGGTGACCTTTCATGTTTTATGTGCCTTTTTTTCGCTCTGCGTCTGTGTGCGCAAAATGTGCCTGTGTGTGCACTGTGCTGTGCTCCGTAGCGGGCTGACACAGGCTACAGTTGGACCAGTAATGCATTAGCCATGGCCAGAGATGGGCTGGTATGAAATGAATAATGGATACCATCCTTTCCATCTGAATAAATCAAGACCAGAGAAATGGAGAGATGAGAGATTACATGTGGGAGAGAGTTGGAGAAATTTAATGCCAGACTGAAAGAAAGGATTTGTGTAACATGGAAGAGGAACGGCACAGGGAGAAACGGCGTCCCGGCTTCCAAGTCGGTGTCTCGTTTCTCTTTGTCTTTAGAAGAAACGGGAAACGTTCAAAGAAGGTGCAGCCTGATGGCTCTTTTGTGTGATGTTTTAAAGGGGGGTGCGGGGTGGGGGGAGATAACTGTGCAAATTAAGTGGAAAAACAAAGCTTTCCCAGCTCATTTTTCTCTATTACGCTCTTTTTTCTTTGTCACTCCATTAGGCACAGGGCCAGACGTTCAGCTTCCCTGACATCTTCCCAGAAAAGGACCGGACGCCAGCGGAGGGCTCCATGGAAGAGATGCAGGACAAGTTCATGGAGGACGAAAAGCAGAGGCAGAAACTCGACCCCAGGAGAGGAGGGGTCACTGAGTGGTTTGGACTCTGAAGCGGCCCGCTGATGGGGAATTCAGCTCGCCTGTGTGTGTGTGTGGGTGTTACGCTGGGAGCAATATGTATTGATTTAAAATGCGCCTGCTGTGATGTCACTTCTATTTCTGTAAGAAAACACGAGTGTGTAGCGAGAGGCAATGAGTATGTGTGTGGGAGACTGCAGACATGTGTTTGGTGTGTTTACGAGGCCTAGGTCCAGTTACCCGAGCCAGAACAGAATCGGAGGAAGAGGAGGAGAGTGGCCCGGCTCCATCTTTGATGAAACCAGCCCACCACACAAAATCTTCATCACCTCAGATGACCTCTTCTCGTTCGTCCTCACCCTCTGGTTTCTTCTCATTTCCCACTCCTTCTTTTTTCTAGCACCGTTCCCCCCGCACTTCTTTCCTTTTTGTTTATGCTCTCTTTAGAATATTCCTCATTGTTTGTCACCCCTCTTGTTCCTTTTCCCCTTCTTTTTCTATTATATTCTTTTTCTCCTTCTTCTTCTGCCACATCCCTTGAAGCTTCAACTCCCAGCTAGCTGGATCTAAGTATTTCCTCTTTTATGAGTTGGCCTTGGATTAATTGACCACTTTTGGTAAACAACAATTGCGATGTTGTTTCAGCAAAGCAAATACATGGAATCTGCAGGGGTGTTATATTACAGTATTTTGTGGTAGCTCTTCTTGCCATTTCCCTGTACCCAGTGTTTGTACATTTTTCCTAGCATGTCAGGCTTGCCAGTGAATCTAATTACAAAAGCTGTTTTAATAAGAACTAATAAACGGTCTCTTGTCCAGAAGTACTCTGCTTACAGTTTCTTGAGTTCTCAGCGCCGTTTGCCACACAGGCTTGGCCAATGGAAGAGCTTAACACGGTTTGCTGTCTGTTTTGACAAACCGGAGAGCAGAGTTCTCTTACTGTAATAAAGTCCTCATACAGGAGGCTCAGCGGACTCTCCATTATGCTGAGAGGCCAACATTACCGTAAGTGTCCCCCGGCCAAGACCACTAATGCTGGCTGGCTAACACACAGAACCAGTGCCTGACCTCAACAAAACAACTCATCAGTCACTAGGGTGAATGTCAATATTGATCCTGTTGGCCCATGGTCTGCTGTCTGGAACCACTGGCCCCCCTGCGTTGCTATACAGCAATCTGATACGGAACAAAACAAGCCTCCAGTTACACAGCCACTTCGATTTGCTCTTTGCCTTGTCCACACTTTCGCACTTTTTATTTTCCCCGTTTTCTGCTCCTCCTCTGTGTTGCCCAGCGCAGACCTCCGAGAAACAGCTGAATAACCAAGCGAGAGAGAGGAGCCGAATTCCTTTTGTCTCAATGGCCTTAACAGACCCCTCATGAAGACTGGGTAATCAGCTTGTGGTGTTTGCCAAGCAATAATCTGTCCCTGTTGTTCCCCGGCTCTCTGTGGCGGGGATACCCTGTTCCGACCAAAATCAGACACAAAACGATTGCGCATACCTCCCACCATCGTTTCTCATGGCGTTAACATTTAAATAACACTTTACGGCCTGTTGACAGTTTTGTGGCGCAGGTTGTCACATTTTGGATTCTTGTTTTTGTTTATTCCTTTATTTATTTATTTAGCCAGCGCGCTGGAGACATTGAGACACTCTTTGTTAATGAGCTAATATATCGCTCGCACAGTTAGATGCCCGAGTCATTTTAAGCCTTCACAAAGACGGAAGTATGCAGCGACGGCAAAAGGTTTTAATAAAGAAACATAACGGGAAACACTTGGGTGCAGAAGTAGTCGAATAACGGTTGAAGACGGAGAAGTAAGACATGCGGTGTAATTACAGTCCACTCAACAAAGTGCCTCCAAAATGATTTGCGACCGTCATGTTTTTGTACGATAATTATGATGAAAGGATAACATGATTTATTCAAGTCAATAAAAATGTTTCATGAGTTCAAGGCTCACTGAGACTTTGATTTAAATTTAGGGTATCTGCTACAAGAAGACCGGCTCAGTATTAAGCGTTATGTCAAAGCTCCTGAGGTACGATGAATGCTCTTTATACAGAATTTTTTTTTTTTTTGTGAATTTCTCTGAAAGATTCCCACACATGGGAGACAGATGATTTTGATCTTCAGATGTTTTTGTTCTTGTCACATGCCTTTGAGATCTTCTTACAAAAGAACTGTCTGGCAGGCTGCATGACTCTCACAATGTGATCTTCGATAAAATGTTCTCACATAATTACTGACTTATGCTGTCAGTCCCCAGTCCACCTAACTGCCCATCAATCCGTTTCCCATACCTGCTGTTTCCTGTTCAGGGTCTGAAGCATAATCCAGCTGTCCAAAGGGCAAGAAGAGGGATGCGTTCTGGTCAGTCCACCCAATTGAACTCCAAGTTAAATATGGGTCTGCGGAACCCAACACCGGTAATAGTTTTCTTTCTGTGTGGAGTTATCCTTGAGTCGGTGAGAGTTTTACTCCAGGTGTTTCTATTTGTTCCCACCGCTCAAAGAGATGCATCTGGGGTTCTAAAGGTAATCTAAGATGGCTGTTTGTGTGTGTAAGTGTGATGAGCTTGTGCCTGGCCAGGGTGTAGCCTAACATCCCCTAAAATATGTAATCTTATGCTCATTAAGGTTTTTACAATGGAACAATTGTCTTTTATCCATTTTTTTTTTGTATCCCTGCTTTTTTGCCAACATTGGTTTTCGGTGCCCTCCTCTAATCGATGTGTTGTCTCAGTGCCTCTCTGTACATACCCAATAAAGCTCTGCAAACACTGCACATCTCCCCATCTGTCTGGCTCTGCCCGTGCAGCCCGCATTTCTCTGAGAGTTTACACAGCGTCCTCCTCATGCGTCCGAGAACGCACCGGTGGGACGCAGCTCTGTGGCCAAACGGGCCCTGCGCTTCCCACTTTTTTTCTGCTGAGCTCAGGATGACTGCAGGCAGCTGCTGATTTACGGGGATCCGCGGACGCCGGACAACAGGCGTTGCATATCGTAATGCGCTGCACGTTGAGTAATTGCATGAAAGGAGGCCAGCGTGTGCAAGCAAGACGTAGAGATCTGAGGAAGGCCAGAGCAAAAGAGGAGATGGAAGTGAGGGGGGAGAAGTGAAGATGGGGGAAGTCAGAGAAAAAAAAAAAAGATGACATCACTAAGAAAATGCTGAGCTGGATTTAAGGACTACAGGATAAGAGGTCTGATCCCACCGTGTAACCCCCTCCCTTCCCTTTTTCTCCTGAGATCTACAGTGCAGGTCGTGTTCTCATCCTTACATGATGAGTTAATGGAAGGGGGGTTGAATATTTTAAACAGTCTCCACTCTCCTTCTTCCTTTTTGAATTTCTCTATCTTTTTCTTTTTCTTTTTTTTTTTTGTCTTGTTCAGCTGTGCATTAGCGGAGTGCACACATGACCCTGTTTCTGCCACTGCAGTCCACATTTGGAATCTGCATGACATCATGCCATATTTTTGGGATGAGTAGCAGTACAGTGAGTGTCCTCTCTGCCTCCCGAAGGAGCAGATCCCCTGCTCTCCGCACTCCCGCGTAACTGGCCACTAGCTTGCAGATGCCGTTTTGCTTCCAGTATTTGTTGAGGAATTCAGATGGAACGTCTCTTAATAACGCCATCGACGGGGCAGCTTTTTCTCATAGTTTGGTCTTTGCCGTGAAAGAAAAAAGAAAGAGACGATTCATTTAGACTGCAATGCAAAACTACTTTACAGTTAATGAAGGTTATATTTATTTATTTTACACATCGTTCAGCTGGCATTCTGCAAACGATTACGCATACTCATACAGTTAGACAGTTACTGCCCTCGCCAGCCTCTTGTGCAGATGCACAGACTCCCACACACTCACACTTGTGCTCACTAAGACAACCGGGGTTGCCTGCTGAGGATTCTGACGGCCTCTCTTGGACAAGCGCCATACACATTCCTCCTTCCCAAGGTTGCTGTTGTTTCATCTGAGCTCAGCCAGTGCACTCTGTTACCCCATAAATGTGTACATGTAAATGCGCATGTGTGTGTCTGTTCAGGGGGACCACATGTATTTGATGCAACCTTACTATTAAAAAAAAAAAGAACGTTTTTCTTTACATGGTGTGTGAGCATCATTATGGTCACGGCTTCCTGTGAATCATTCACCAATGCAGAAAGGCCCCTGTGTGTTTACGGTTGTACTGTATGCACATCTAGATTCTGGCTTTAACCTGGAAGCAACATCTGATGGAATACTATTAAAAACATATTTTGCCAGGCTGTGGTGTTATGTAAGTGAGATTAAATAGTGTACTGTATATTTTTAAGATTCAATAAATTAATTAATGCAGTATGTGAAGTAAAGTCTGAACTTGATGACTGAATTTAATTGAAAGAACCTGATCACTAACATTCTGGGTCCTGTTCCTTTTCCTTTGTTTTAAGACTTTATTGTGTACGTTGTTGCTGTGTTTTCCAAACTGCAAGAAATGTTTTCCATGTAACACTTTGAATGGCACTTTAGGTAACTTTTAAATTTTTAATGAAACCTCGTATTTGGTCGATCTAATAAAATCAATAGAGTTAGGGTCAGTGTGCGTAATAGGTTAAAAATAAGGTATTGTTCACAAAGAAGGTCTGTGGGAGCAGTAATTTCATATGTGAGGCAAAACAGCCGTATTTGAATGGGAGTTTCCTGGTGTTTCACACAGTAACTAAAGCAAAAGTATTCAAGTTTTTCAATTAAGATACAAGGTCCACTTTGCTATGTTGTGCACAAACATTATAGCACAATGTAACTTGAAAAACATTTTCAATTATAAAAGTTCAAAGTATGCATTGTGTACATCTTATGTTTGAATGATTATTCTCAATGTACAGGCAATACATATTTAGCTATTATATGTACTGTATATGTAGCCAGTTGTAAAATCTGCAACATTGCATCTAGATTTGTATGCAAAAATCAAATGAAATATGTTAAATTTATCAAGACTAAATCTCTCTAACTAATCTTGAAAAGTAATAAGCATCATATT